TAATTATAAACCTTGGTTTATAACAGCTTGATTTATTGTCAATGAATTGCGCCAAACTTCGGAAATCAAGACGAGTTTATCGGTTTATCCAAAGGCTGGCTTTGTTGATTTCTGTTATCAAACCGAACGAATCTTATAACTTCTGTAGCCATTTCTGCTTATAGTATTGGAGAATAATACTCCTTTTTTTTTTATAACGTTGCATATTTATAATGTAGCGAAAAGATTGCTAGGCAACAATTTTCTTTAGATAACAAGTAAGATGGTAGGCAAGACAGACTACAAATTTTTTTCAAAAAAATATTAAAAAATGCATTGTAGGTATGGTATAAGAAAAGTTGTGAAGTTAAATAGCGATGCAATAACATCGTATGCAGGATATTTTAAACGAAATTTTAAAAATGATCACTTGACTCCGCTTGGTAGGTTTAGTGTTAAACATTAATAGGATGATCAATTTCTTCTGAAAGCTAAACATAACAGATACTCGATCAGCGATCGAGAATAAAGACTGATCGTAACAAACGCGATAGAATATTAAGATATCATTAAGATATTGAGATATCATTGTATTTAATTTTATTTTTTATTTAATTGTTAATAATTATATTTAATTTTACTTTTTTATTAGGTATTAATTATATTTAAGATGTAATAATTCTTTTAAAAGAAAATCATTCCTTCATCAAGCGGACGATAATAATTTAGACTTTATTTAAAAAGATAAGGCACTAATAGTTAATGAGACGAAGAAATTAACAGAAACTATGTACAAAATATCCTTAAAACAGGACTTTGTCTAATTCTTTCTAATTGTAAGTAGATTCCACAAAGGCAACGCAATTTCAAATAGCGATCTTACAGAAGTTTGAGCCTCAAATTCGCGAAGTTAAACAAAAAAAGAATAGGCAGATAAGCGTAAATGTGCATTGAAATAATAATGATGCAAAAGTTTAGCTATAGTAAAAAAGTTTTCAATTATTTTCTATAATAACTTATATTGTCTGAAAAATATTTTAATATGTTTCTTGATCTCACAAATACAGCTTTAATCGAATGGCTTCTAGTATTGGTTTCTTTCAGAAATTATGTATTTTTGATTATTTTCACGATTATTGCAGATTATTACATTTATTCGGTCGTAACAGCAAATTATACTCGCGAAAATGAGATGTTAATTAACTTTCGATTATGGTTATTGATGGTAGTTTATAACCATGTATAATTCAAATCGTCGAGATATACGTAGCATTACTATTTAATTTTCTTTGAACATTATTCATAAAACACTGGAAACGTGAACAAGTATTTTTTAGACCAAAAGATATTCACTCATATTAAAAATGCCCTAAAGTTGTGACCTTAATATCACGGAATTTGATAGAATCCACTCGTAAGCTTAGGATTGTGAAATAACGAACATATTTGAATTATAGATTCAATATAGAATGTTTTCGATGTTCGGCAGAGAATATTCGTCGCTAATTTTTTCGTTTAATTTTCAATAGTCGATCAGTATCCACTATTTATGTTCTCTCGATACATTAAGATTTTTGGAAACGATCTGTAAAAGGCTAGATCACGGAGGTTTTGTGATTCCTTGTTGTAACATTTAACTTATTTGTTTACTCATTTCTTGTGGACTTGAGAGTATTTTTCCAGGAGTTGAAAAAGTTAAGAATTTTTAAATAGATTCTATTTGAAACCATGGATTCTATTTGAAACCATGGATACAAGTGTTCTTACATTACAAGTTCCGATAAGAACAGACAAATAAAAATTT